TTCAAGCCAGAATTCTTCTGGGAAAAATTAGAGAACACTCTTGAGTTTTTGCAACTATCTTGAGAGGACCAAGCTCATGATTTCTGGAGGGTGTTGATGAGATAACTTAAGGGGACTTAGATGACCTGCAAAAATGTCTGTGTCAGAAGAAGAAAATTGAGGAAGAATTTAAATAAAAAATTTGAAAAGGCACCTTTATGTGCCTGATCATGAAATAAAGGGGCAGGAGGGTGCAGAAGCTTTCTAAAGGCTCCCAGGAATTCTGTGCATACCCTGATCCCTCCTCCCTCAAAATTTAAAATTTAAAATTTAAAATTTAAAATCCATCATACTAACTGGATCTGGATAGGGCATTTGCTCCCTGAAAGCAAGACAGAGTCACCTTGGTTCTTCTCATACTAGATGATTTTTCTGCCCAATAATTAAAAGGTCATGCAGCGTCATAAATGGAGCTGGCTCCCCATTGGCCAGAGCTCGGCCACATGACTTCGCCTGCTGCAAGGGAGGCTGGGAGTTGTAGTCCAGCTGGGAACCACACGGACCCGGTATAGCACTATTGAAGCTACGAAGACAGAATGAAGGTGCTTTGGACAGACAACCTGCATTCTCCACGCTTTTCATTAACTTCTGCTGTTTGGATTTCACGGTCTCAACTTCTGAGTCTATTCTGAGAAATGCCATGTGTTTTTCAGTGAACTTGATTTTATGCACATTAAGAGAAATGCTTATTTTATTTTATTTTTTCCCAGCCCTGGTGGAGCCCTTATGCTATCACCAAGCACTACTTGGAATGCTTCTTACATGTTAACTCATATATCCTTGACAGAGTCCAGAGACTCCAAGAGGCAGATTCTCTTATGATATCCATCTTTTCCCCCCAAAATGACATAATCATGGCCCAGAGGGCATGTGTAAAATATCTGAGGTTGTACAGCTTAAAATAGAGAATCCAGTATGTCAACCCAGGAATTGGGCATTAGAGTCCAGAGTATAATTATCAATAATCTTGCCTACTACCTCTAAGAGAAAGCTAAACAAATCCCCCCACTTCTTCTTTCAAATTAGGAAAAAACATGTACCCAGCATGTATTAATGTGTATATTAATATTAGTTTCCTGGGGTTTCTGTGGCAAAGTGCCACAAACTCAGTAGGCTAAACAACAGAAATCTATTTATTGTTTCACAGTTCTGGGCACTGCAAGTCCAAAACCCAGCATGTGACATGCTTCCTCTGAAGGTTTAGGGAACGATCTGTGTAAATCAGGTGTCCTCAAACTACAGCCCCCAGGCCACATGCGGCCCACCCAGGACACTTATCTAGCCCACCGGGTGTTTTTGCTGCAGCTGCCTGTCCTGCTTAGCCACTGCCTGTCATTTTATTTTTATTTATTTTTTATTTATTTTTAATTAAATCATAACAGTGTACATTAATACTATCATGGGGTACAGTGTACTATCTCTGTATACAATTTATAGTACTTTCATCCAACTGGTTAACATAGCCTTCATCTCTTTTTCTTAGTTATTATGTTAAGACTTTTATATTCTACAGTTAGAGAGATTCACATGGACCCTTATAGGATGAACCATAGGCGTGATCCCACCAATCACCCTCCCTCCACCCACCCTCCCCCTGCCTGTCCTTTTAAACTATAATCCAGCCCTCCAATGGTCTGAGGGACAGTGAACTGGCCCCTTGTTTAAAAAGTTTGAGGACCCCCTGGTCTAAATGTTCTCTTTTTCTTTGGCTAATTAGTCCCTTGGCTTGTGGAAGTAGCATTCCAATAATTCCATGATATTCTCCTCATGACCCCATCTGTATTCAAAGCCCCTGTTCTTATAAGCACAGCAGACATACTAGATTAGAGGCCCACTGGACTCCTGTGTGACCTGATTGTAATTATAACTGCAATGACCCCATTTCCATATAAGGTCACATTCTAAAGTACTGGAGGTTAAGACTTTAACAGAATGGATTTGAAGGGATGGAATTCAACTCATAGCAGTATACTACATATTAATAACATGTGTGTGTGTGTGTAGTTCAATCTTCCAATTTGAGATGTCAAAGTGAAGCAGGCTAACCATCTCCTACAACCAAGACATCTTGCACACAGTGGCTTATGCTTGGGCAAAAAATAAAGTTGTTATTTTTATGTCCATGCAGCAAAGCAGAAATGAAAATATAGCCCCCACACTTGACATCTCCTCCTTCACGCTTCTGAAATTACAGTCATGGATTTCCCCGATTCCAACATGAATATATCCACCCATTGCCCACGAGGTGCATTTGAGTTCCCACAAAGAGGAGCTGAGTGTAAACTTTTAATTGTGTCATTGATCCACCACGATCAACCTGGGGTTTAGGAACACCGTCAAAACCCACAACTCTTGACTCCTTCTCCACCCTCAATCTTAACTGTTAATAGTTTACTATTCCTTGCAGGGGTGCATGATACGGTTTGGTCCTAAGCCACATAGGGAGTTCTATCCAGGTCTTTCTATATTCCAACTCACAAAAGACTTCAAACTTGCTCTCACAAAATGGAACTGTTTAAAGGCTTACTTATAGGCATTCCACTTATAGCTTACTGTTGAGGACAAGCCTTACTGATCACATAAACCGATGATTAATGCATGTTTTGTATGCATTACCTGTGTAAGAATATGTACTATATTTTTACAATATAGTAAGCTAGAGAGAAGAAAATGTTATTAAAAACCTCATAAGGAAGAGAAAATTATGTACTATTCATTAATTGGAAGTGATGGGAAGGTGATCATCTTCACGCTGATTAGGCTAAGGGGGAGAAAGAAGTGGAGGGGGGGTCTTGCTGCCTCAGGTGTGGCATTGTGGAAGAAAATCCTTGTACAAGTGGACCTACTTAATTCGCATCCATGTTTTTCAAAGGTAAACCATACATTCAAAGCTAGCATTTCCTTCATTCAAATCCATGAAGATTTTGCATTTTATCATTATTTTTCTCATCAGCATGGGAAGAATGCCTTGCAGGTGACTACCTAAAGAGGGGTTCCCCAGGAGACGATTATTTCAAATATTTTTATTTTAAGCAGCTTGAATATTAAATTTGCTTTCCTCCTGTCATCCAGGTGAGTTTTATCTCATAATCTTGTTGTTTTTCATGTTTATTATCCGTCTTGAGTGTAGAAAGGGATTTAGTGGATATTACACAAGCCTACATAGCTTCATGATTTGGGGGCCGCTTACTACCACCACTTCATAAAATTTTAGGGAGTAGTCGGAAATTCCCAAGATACTTAGTGCCCGAAATATAGGATGGATGCTACAACAATCAAAACCACTTTTCTGTTTTATATTTATTTTAAATGATTGGAAGTAGAGTATGACAGTTTCAGAAATTGGGCTGAGTTAAACATTAAAAAATAATGATTGGAGTCTATGTAGGTATGCCTGGATATGTACACATGTATGAGTGCGTGTCTGTACGTACAAAAACACACATGCTTTTTAACAAGAACTTAATTAAGCTCAGACTGAACTGCCTATATAGAAAATGGTAGCTGGGCATTAGGAATTGCCACTCTTAGCAAACCTCTTACAAGAATTGGAAAGTGTGATAAGACAAACATTCAACTAGAAAATGCAGTCTCTAAATTAACCTACATAGTATAGGAAAATCCATGATATGAGACAGGCAATTCTAAGATGTCTAATCTGGAATATTAGTTTTTCTTTTTCTTTTTGAGACGGAGTCTCAAGCTGTCACCCCTGGGTAGAGGGCTGTGGCATCATAGCTCACAGCAACCTCCAACTCCTGGGCTCAAGCAATTCTCCTGCCTCCGCCTCCCAAGTAGCTGGGATTATAGGTGCCCATCACAATGCCTGGCTATTTTTTGGTTTCAGCCGTCATTGTTGTTTGGCAGGCCCATGCTGGATTTGAACCCACCAGCTCAGGTATATGTCAGTGTATGTGGCTGGCTTCTTAGCCACTTGAGTCACAGGTGCTGAGCCTGGAATATTAGTTTTAAGGGATTTTTTTTTCAAATGTGTTGCTCTTTCAAATGTTTTCTAATTTCAATTTCTCTGTTTGGAGACTCCAGTTTATAAATGTGAGCACAAACCATGCATATTTAGGATTTTTATGGGTTCTTTATAGAAGATCCAGATTGCAATGAATATCTTCGTCTTTGGTTCAGATATTTAAGCCAAAGTCTAAAAGTTATATGAACATTAACCTTAGTTTAATCAAGTTATACCAATATGACCAAAGCATCCCTTTCCCTCCCTAGAAGTATTTCTAAAACAGAAGCAAGTAGCTAATATACTTTTTAGATGTCTAAGGATTTAAGATTTTCTACTTTGGAGAGTAGAAAAAGCATAAATTCAGTAAAGGAAAGCTGTTGCTGTAGGAACCGGTACCTAAAGAATATCAAAGAGTAAAATTACTGTGACAGGGTCAACATCTGAAAACTCACCATTTCTGTGTCCTATTCTCTAAAACATATTAAAAATATAATTTCCTAGGAGAAAGTAGCCCGAGACTGATTTCCCCTGGATGATTTTAATATTCATAATTTCATGCTAAAAATTTTAAAATCTGGGCTGCTTTTCTGTGGGTAATAATTTTTTTGTGCAGAGACACCAAAGTTGAATAGACAATCATACCCTGTTCTGAGCATTGGGTATAATTCATTCTCACTTCATTCACAATGTTGAACACTCGATAGCTTTTGACTTCCATGCTGAATGATTTCTGACATCTCTTAGAAATGTAGTGCAGGGCAAGCCTCTGACGACATCTTCCCAAAATCTCAAAAGTCGTCATCTCCCAGAATCCGACAACATCCTTCTCCCACCTGTTGCCATCATGCTTTGCAATACACCTGAGTGTGTTTTGGCACCATGAGGTAGTTGAAGATCTCAGAACAGAGGGCTGGACCTTCTTGATGCACAGGTGTCACAGAAACAATAGATTCAGCAATCTTTTCACCACACCACCTGCAACAAACTGGGGATTCCTTGGGAGGCCGCGGCCATAGTAAACACACAACAGAACACGCTTTAGGTCAGCAGATGATACCAAGAATACACAGGGTTCTTGTCTTGATTCAGTTTTTCTCGAAGTGATCAAAGAACTTGGAATTCTTCAGACATTCACTGGCTCTGAAAGAGAAGATTAGAAACACAATGTCAAAGCCAGGACCCCAAAAAAACAGAAACAAGGATTAAAAACTCTTAAAAATGTCATCATATCTGGGAGCTAAAAAATGTCAGTCTCATGGAAGTAAAAAGTACACTACAGGGCAAATGAGGCTGCGCAGTGTAAGAGTAACAGAGAAGTGAGACGTTCCTTAACATTTGGTTAAAGGATACAAAATAACAGCTAGACAGAGGGGCGGTGCCTGTGGCTCAAGGAGTAGGGCACTGGCCCCATATACCAGGGGTGGTGGGTTCAAACCCAGCCCTGGCCAAAAAAATAAAAGAAAAACTTTAAAATAGCAGCTAGATGGGAAGAATCAGCTCTAATGTCCTTTGCAGAATGTCTATAGTCAACAATCATATGCTACATAGTTTTAAATACTAGAAAGAGGATATTGAACATCCACAACACACACACACAAATTCAATGTGTGAAATGACAGATCTACTAATTACCATGATCTGATGACTATACATTTATGTATACCAATATTACTATGTGCTTCATGAATATGTGTAATGATTATTCATCAATTAAAAATAAGTTAAATTTAAAGACTCATATTTGGGGGAAAATATGATTATTCATCAATTAAAATAAATTAAGTTAAATTTACAGACTCATATTTGGCTGCTTCAGTTGACTACAAAAAAGGGTAATATTTGGGGGAAAATATTAGTTTTTAAAACATCATCTTTTTTTTTGCAATTTGCCATTCATTGAGTGTTTAGACCAGTGGTTCTCAACCTTCCTAATGCTGCCACCCTTTAATACAGTTCCTCATGTTGTAGTGACCACCAACCATAAAATTATTTTCGTTCCTACTTCATAACTGTAATTTTGCTACTGTTATGAATAGTAATGTGAATATCTGATATGCAAGATGTATTTTGGCAACTCCTGTGAAAGGGTCATTCGACCCCCAAAGGGGTCGTGACCCACAGGTTGAGAACCGCTGGTTTAGACCATCTTAAATGAATTGACTAATTCTCTTTTTAGTTAACGTTAGTATTTGTATGAATCCCTTTTTTACGTTTTTTATTTTTATTTTTATCATCTATTTATTTGGTTTTGAGAGAGGATCTTTCTCTATCACCCGGGCTAGAGTGCAGTGGCCTCATCATCCTTCACCACAACCACAGTCCAACTCCTGGGCTCATGCAATCCTCCTGCTTGTCCCCCAAGTAGGTGGGACTACAGGTGCCCACCACAATGCCTGGCAAATACATATATATATGTATGTATGTGTGTATATATACATATGTGTGTGTGTGT